GGGGGGGTGGGATAGCCTTACCTCCAAAGATTACAACACAAGGATATAGGTATCCTTACCAAAAAACACAGTAGGGTGATTACATACACCTCATCTCTGTGTGATACTATCACAACTTGGTTAGCTTACAAGAAAATTTGCTTTATCGTACTTTGTCCTAATACTAGGCATCTGCAATTTATCCATTATGAAAGGGACTTTGGCACCTCTAGGAAGTTGTTGGAATGAAAGATATATATTACTGCTAGAGGCGGTTGTGGCTAATTTAGCAAGGTAGTCAGCCACTTGATTTGCTTCCCTATAGCAATGCATAGGAGTGATTTTGGCTAGATTCATAAACTGTGTAATATTCTCGATGATCCGCTTCATTTTGTAGTTGTCCGTATTTCCTTCTTTTAACATGTTTGTCACCAGGAGGGAGTCCAGCTCTATATTGAAGTTAGAGTAACCATTTTGTATGCACCATTTGATCCCAAATAAAGCAGCTTGGGCTTCTGCATCATTATTGCTACTGCATTTGGCTTGGACTGAGAATGCCATAATGAAATCTCCCTGATCATTTCTCATAGTACCACCAAAACCTGCTTTCCTGTTCTCATGTATGTAGCTACCATCGGTGTTGAGTTTGAAGGATCCTTGGAGAGGTTTCCTCCAAGCTACAATAATAGCTTCAGGAACCGGTTGTAATCTCATCATATCATCATAGTATTTGACCCAAGGCAAAGCCAGTTTGCACCTAGGGAAGGTTCTGTGAACTACAGCTTGTATGTTCCATATTATCTGTTGCTTCATTTTGTAGAAATTGAATCTCTTTTGATCACCATATTTACATGAGCACCTATTTTTCCAAATCTCCCAACATACTATGATAGGAGTAATTTGTAGAACTTGTTTGTGTATGTCATTTTTGCTCCTTTGCTGCCACCAGTGGTTAAACCACCCTCTAATGGGAATCTGTTTGTGGATGATTCCCATATGAGCACCAATGAATTTCCAAATGTACCTAGCTGCATCACTTTCCATGAAAACATGTTGCATAGACTCATTTGAGTGGTTAGTACAACATATACATCTTGAAACAATTTGTTTCCCAAAGTTAAGAATTACCTCATCAAATGGAAGTTTAGACAGCCATAATCTCCAAGTTAAGAAGGAAATTTTAAAGGGGATGCTAGGGTGCCATACCTTGCTTAAGAACTGATCTTTAGGCTTGACATCTCTGAAGATGTCTAGAACTGTTTTATTGGAATACTTTCCATTCTCTGTGAGATCCCATATGGCTTGATCAGGGATGCCTTGCTTTCCAATGTTGACATTTATAATGATTTGAACAATGTACTCTAGGAAGGAGCCTCTAAGTTTATGCATATTCCAGTTTCCATGTTGAATGAACTCCTTGACTAGCACTTTAGGACTGTTGTTGATAGCTGGTAACAAGGATGCCAAAGGGCCCTTACCAGTCCAATTGTCCCACCACATACTAGAATTTCCCGAATTGATAATCCAGAAGATGTGAGGTTCAACTTTACCTCTAACCTTTCTCATCTTCTGCCAAGCATGAGAGTCACCAGAAGCATTCCTTTTACTCACGGGTGAGATCTTGGGCAATATTTATGTCTCATGAAAGTAGCCCACAAAGAAGGGATGGTCCTGAACCTCCACCACCTTTTTGTAGCTAGAATATTATCAAGGACATCCATTCTTTTCACTCCCATGCCTCCTTCCTCCAAGGGGAAGCATAATTTTTTCCAAGATCTCCGATGATAATTCTTTTGTTCCCCAGAATAGCCCCAGAAAAAATTAGCAAAATGCTTTTCAATCAAGTTAAACGTGCTCTTGGGAGGGGACATAGCAGATAAAGTATATATAGGAAGAGATTGTAGAACATATTTAATATGAATAAGTCTACCTCCATATAAAAGTATCTTACCATGCCACCCATTAAGCTTCTTAATTATTTTGTTAACCAAGCAATCAAAGTAAACAATCCTCTTTCTCCCTGTATAGATTGGACATCCTAGGTATGTAAAAGGAAAATTCTTATCCATGTAGCCTGTAGCATTCCTGATACTATTGATTCTAGTAGCACAAGTTTGAGGTGCAGTTTAAAAGAAGCTTTTGTCAGTGTTAACCTTCTGACCAGAGCTATTCTCATAGTTCTAATGGTGTTCATGATAAGGTTAATAGAAGCATTATTACCACGAGTGAATATAACAATATCATCAGCATATGCAAGATGGGTGATTTGTAGACCTCCCTTAGACATAGAAAAGGGGATGAAATTGTCGTGTAAAAGAAGATTATTCAGAGAACAAGTAAGAACTTTAGCAGCTAAAATGAATAGGGAAGGGGATAACGGATCACCTTGTTTTAAACCTTGACTGGATGTAAAGAAGCCTTTTCTATTACCATTAATAATAATAGAATACCAAATTCCAGATAAAAGACTCATAATCATGTAAATCCAGAATTCAGAGAAACCAAAGTTCCTAAGAACAGAAGTAACAAAGGTCCAAGACATCCTATCATAGGCTTTAGCCATATCCAACTTCAAAACAATATTGCCCCCTTTAATCGTATGTGAGATAGATTGAACAATTTCTTGTGCTAATAGAATATTTTTAGAAATGAGTCTTTCTTTAACTAAGCCACTTTGATTTGTGGAAATAAGAGTGGTCAATAGAGGGTTAAGTCTATTAGATAAGATCATAGAAATAATCTTATTAGTAAAATTAGAGAGACTTATAGGCCTGAAATCATTAAAGGAAGAGGGGCCATCTATCTTAGGAATAAGGACAAGGCAAGTATGTGTGTAAAATTTAGTAAGAAGAGTACCTTTGAAGAAATCCTAGACAAAAGCGTTGATATCCTATTCAATGATGTCCCAACAATTATGGAAGAATGTGCCATTGTAGCCATCTGGACCAGCTGCACTAGAAGCAGACAAGCTAAAAACTGCATGTCTAATTTCTTCCTCACTTGGTTCTTTATTAAGGTTGTCACTTTCTTCTTCTGTGATCCTTTTAGAGATACAATTCAGTAAAGTAGGATCTATTTTAGCTACTGGAAGGTTGAATATGGAATTGAAATGCTTAATAGCAACTTTAGCTATTTTATTGTCTCCCTGTATCCATTTGCCTTTATGATTTTTTATCCTGTTTAGCTGAAGCTTTCTTCTTTTTTCTCTGATCATACTATAAAAATATCTGGTGTTTCTGTCTCCTTCCTCAAACCCTTTGAAATTTGTTTTTTGGATTAGTAGGGAATCTTGCATATTCAGCCATCTAATATATTCCGCATGTGCCTTATTGGTTTCTTCCCGAGCTGCCTCAGTATTGCTGATAATCTCATGTTCTTCAAGGCTCTGGATTTTTTGCTCACATTTCAGAACTTGTTCATGAATGTCGCCAATATCCTCTCTAGACCATTGAGATAGTCTTCTGCTAAGGAGCTTTAATTTAGACCGAAGTCTCCACATGCTATTGCCAGTAATATTAGTATGCCAAACTTCCTTAACAAGATTGTGGAATCACTCCTGTAAAGTCCAAAAGTTAAGGAATTTAAAATACTTAATGTGAGTATTATTGGAGTCAAAGGATTTCACGAGTAACGGCCTATGATCTGATCCAGTCCGCACTAAATGTCTAACGGTAGTGTTTTGAAATTTTTGAGACCACTTATCATTAAAGAAAACTCTATCAAGCCTTTTCCAAATTCTTTTTCGAGGTCTCCTCTTGTTGCACCAATTAAGTGAACTTTGGACCTGTATAACCAATGTCAGTAGTTCCGCAATTATCCATGCAATTCTGGAAGTCTAAACTCCTGTGCATCCTATGAGGATTGCCACCTAATTTTTCTTCAGGCTCCAGGATAACATTAAAGTCACCTCCAATGCACCAAGGTCCATTTATAGACAAACTGATGTTCTCCAGGCTGCTCCACATTTCTCTTCTCTCTATATTACTGCACTTAGCATAAACTGCAGTGATAACTATAGGGTGGTTGGTCGATCCATCATCAATTTTGATGGAGATCTGTTGATCCTCATTGTTAATAATAGAAATTTGACTGATATTCTTCCAGAAGCACCAAATCTTTCCGTTGTCATTAGAAATGCATTCCTGATAACCCAAAAATTTTCTGTACCCCTCAATTTTATCCTTGTCAACCATAGGTTCCATGATTGCAGTAAAGAGAGTGTTATTGATATCGATAAGTTGTTTTAGCCTATGTATGGCCTTTTTTGACCTTACCCCCTAATATTCCAAAAGATTGTATTAATCATGGAGTCTTTGGAGGGAAGTATCATTCTTTTGTGCCCTCTTTACAGAGGATGTGGTTCTGCTTTTGTTTCTTCTACTGGAGTTTCTGGATCTGCTTCTTCCCCTCCCTTCTAGTATATATTCTTCTTCTTCTGTAATACTTTTGTCTTGTCTGCTATCTTCTCTCTGATTGAGTCCTTCAAGACTTTGATGTAGTGAGATTGTCACTGTTTATTTTCAACTTGAAGCAAAATAATTTATTTAGATACAACATTTTATTTCAAATAATTATTGTGATTAAAAGATTATTTTTCCTACATTAAGTTTTAATCGTGGCAAATATTAATGATTAGCCATGAAATTTTATCATTTCAAAAAATCTAAGACTATATCATTTCGTCATGATAAATAAGTGTAGCTATTAGCTACCATTTCCACTATGTTTTGTAACTTGAAACAAAATATTTACTTGGCTAAAAATATTTTATTTCAAGTAATTTATTGTGGTTAACAGGTTACTTGTAACGACCAGGACGATCGCTTTGAGTATTTTAGTCTCGTTTTGTTACATCTCGCATTTTCGTACGTTAAAAGTTTCGTCTTCGGTTAATTCACGTAGACTCGGGGATGAGATTATCTTGAGGTTAACGTATTTATGCTGTTTATAACAAGCGATAAGTAAGTGTCATGAAGGATAAAGGGCACACGAATTAAAGAAAACAGGTTTCGTTGAAGATGACCGATTTGGGTTAAAATACGAGTTGAGCGATAACACCCGATATTTATGGACTAATACCATACAAGATAACCATATGACCACGGTATATAATATATAAAGTATATTAAAAATAAGTAGAATTTTAAGTAATTTGAGATAATTTTTAAATTATGCGGGTAATCAGTTAATTACCATGTAACGAGACAGTACCCAATTAACTAATAAGTGGATAAAAATTAATAAATTCCACCCTCCAAAAATGTGAAAGCTGGCCACAATGACTCCTTAGTCATTTAATAGGTGGCAACCAAGTAGCAAGGTAAAGGTCACTTCATCCTTATATTGGTATATCATCAGAATAATAGTCATTTTACTACCATTAGAACATTATGAACCTTTACAATCTAAAGACATTTAGCATTCTGCAAATCCAAAACAATGTTAGCTATTTGAAAGCCTTAACAAAGCTTTCTTTCTTATCTTGAAGAAAAAGTCAATCAGAACGTTAGAAACATTGACAGTTCAAACAACGAGATTTCTTGCATCCAAATTCTCCCCAAAAAAATATTATACGAATTTTTTCCTACTCCAAGTTTGTTAAGGCTATCCCTTCTTTGCTTTTGGCATGATCCAAGTTATACAGAAGAAACGAAAAAACGCACAGTTCTCATAAGCAACTCTATTCATAGAAATACTAGGGGTCTCTTTGTTCTTGATTCCCCATGTGACATATTATTGTATCTTCTGTTCATGGGTCTCAAAATAATATGCAGTTGATAAAGTTTATCCGAAAAGAATATTGAGATTTGTAACATATTTTCATGCATTTTATTCATTTATGCATGTACATTGACCCATGAACATACAGCATTATACACGCGTATTTATATGTATATATTTATGTATATTGGATATGGAAAAAAGGTTACGGGGTTATATACGCGCCACTACCTGATCAGTTGGTATATATTGATGATGTTTCCCGCAGTGTCCAAGACGATATAATGGGATGCCCTCAGTGGCTTGACGATGTTATGTACACCTATACCTATGCTTCACACGACATTTATATGAACGTGCATGACATTATAAATGTTTCAAAATTTAGAAATTTATTTAGATTTACAGATGGATCTCATAATTTCATGTTTCATCTATGTCTTTTATGTACTGATTTGCATGTCTTACATACTCAGTACATTATTCGTATTGACGCCCTATTTCACAGGGCCTGCGTTTCATGCCCGCAGGTGTAGGTAGCTGACCGTCCCCCTTCTTAGGATCCTTGATCAACGAGAGCTGGCGTGCTCCATTTGATCCGGAGCTGCTTTTGATTTTGATACGATATGCTTATATACATATATGGGTATGACGTGGCTCAGTCCCGTCTTTGTACAGTTGTATTTCTATTAGAGGTCTGTAGACAATTATTTACCGTTGGATAGTATGTAGCCTTATCGGCTTTCAGTTTTGGTTATATAGTTGTCTATAGCAGCCTTGCCAGCTCGCCCACTGTATTCCGCATGTGTATGTACATATGCCTTATTGACATGTTTCCTTCATGTATGTTATTCTCGAAATTCAGTAGACGTCATTCAGATTTATATCTTAGACGCATGCTTAAGGGTGTTAGACAGGTAGGACTCGGCACCCGTTGCGGTCCATCAGTTTGGGTCATGACAAATGTGGTATCATACCTAGTACATCACTGTGGGGAGCACCTGTGTTTTTTGTAAGGAAAAAGGAAGGTTCCTTACGGATGTGTACTGATTATAGACAGTTTAATATGGTGACAATCAAGAATAAGTACCCTCTCCCAAGGATTGATGATTTTTTTTATCTGTTGCAAGGTGCCAAGTATTTTTCAAAGATAGACTCTAGGTTCGAGTACCACCAGGTAAAGGTTAAGGAGGAAGATATTCCTAAGATATCATTCAGGACCAGATACGGGCACTTTGAGTTTCGTGTTATGTCGTTCGGTTTGACCAATGCCCCAGCAGAATTCATGGATTTGATGAACCGTGTGTTCAGGACTTTTTAGATCTATTTTGCAATTGCATTTATCGACGATATATTGGTGTATTCTCGTTCAGAGGCTAAGCATGCAGATCATCTGCGTACTGTGCTCGGAGTTCTATAAAAAGGGAAGTTGTATGCAAAATTCACTAAATGTGAATTTTGGTCAAGCTCTGTAGCTTTCCTTTGGCATATAATTTCGGGTGAAGGCATCTAGGTGGATACACAAAAGATGGAGGCAGTAAAGACTTAGCCTAGACCCACAACACCACAGAGGTTCATAGTTTTTTCGGTTTGGCAGGCTATTACAGGAGATTTCTAGAGGGATTTTCCTCCCTTTCAGCACCTTTGACAAAGTTGACTCAGGAGTGAGCAATGTTTCTATAGACTGACGCTTGTGAACGAAGTTTCCAGGCATTGAAGGACGGATTAACTTCAGCACCGGTTCTAATGCTCCAGAACGGACCGATGGTTATGTTGTCTATTGTGATGCTTCAGGCCTTGGATTAGGTTATGTGCTGATACAACATAGTAAGTTTGTAGCTTATACTTCTAGACAACTAAGAAAGCACAAGAAGAACTACCTGACCCACGATTTATAGTTAGCCATGGGGATTCATGAACTAAAGATGTGGAGGAACTACTTGTATGGCATTCATGTAGATATCTATGCGGATCATAAGAGCCTCCGGCATATCTTCAGTCAAAAGGAATTGAATTTAAGTCAAAAAAGATGGTTGGAGCTACTTAAAGACTATGACGTTGATATTTTATACCATCCAGGGAAGGCAAACGTAGTAGACGTCGCCCTCAGCCGCAGATCGATGGGTAGCATGTCATATTTACAGCCAGAAAAGAGGGAAATAGCCCATGAGATTCATCAGGTAGCTATTCTTGGAGTTTGGTTACTGGAATCAGGTTATATTAGAATTACTATTCAGGATACAACAACATCCTCATTAGTAAGTGAAGTGAAGGAACGCCAGTACGAGGATCCTGTGTTAGTTCACTATCGGGATACCATCCCTCAGAAGGAGAAGACACCGTTTGAGATTATAGAAGATGAGGTCCTCAGATATCGAGGACGATTATGTGTCCCTAATGTTGCAGGGCTGCATCGGTAGGTTCTGGGAGAAACTCACTATTCTCGTTATTCTATCCATCCCGGAGCGACAAAGATGTATCATGATATCAGGAAAGTATATTGGTGGGACGGAATGAAAAAGGATATAGTGGAGTTTGTTGCTCAGTGTCCTAACTATCAGCAAGTTAAGATTGAACATCAGAAACCCGATGGATTATTGCAGGCTATGGAGATTCCGACTGTGAAATGGGAAGTAATCAATATGGATTTCATCGTAGGCTTACCTCGTACCCAGCGTAAGTTCAATTCGATATGGGTGATTGTTGATAGGCTTATAAAGTCAGCCCATTTTATGCCCGTTAGGACTACATACTCCGCAGAGGATTATGCAAGGCTTT